CCTAACACCGTTACCCATCTTCCATCTTAAGAGGTTTGTACACTTTAGTGAGTTGGAAGGAGGATTTTTTTTCGCCGTGGTCTTGCTCAAGTTGTTTTCTCAATATAGGATGTTTTTGGGTGAGGCTGGAAGTGGGAGGCCGAGTGATCTGGAGATGCGGGGGGGGGGGGGCGTTAACTCGGAAAAATAGACTAGTACCCGGCAGATATGATAGACAACAACCATGAAGCAGTTAGGGTTTTACCTGGTTAATAACATCCTTCCAATGATTGCTCAATTTGTATCCTAAAATAGCCGTTCCCCCCCCCCCCTGGTAGTCTCCCATCCAATTAATAACTAAGCTTAACCCCCGCTTAACTTCCAAAGATCTGATGAGAACGGACAAACTCAGAGCGACTTGGCCAGTCCATTGCTTCCAAAAATGTTTTCAGTTGTTGACACCTCGAGTGTGTGAGAATCAGTACTAGCCTGCATCAAGTGTAATTGCCAGATTAAAATATATATAACTAATAATAAACACAGCATGGAAATGAAGCTTTGCCCAACTGTGGAGAAGCTGATAGGCTGCTCTGTCCTTATCTCTGTCTCTTGCACAGCCCCCCACTTCACCTCAATCCTGTCAGGTGGGGTGGTAGGAGCAAGTTTCGTAATTCACTTCACAAGGCCAGGTTCAAAATTCCTCGGGGTTCGCTCAATAAACTTGGCACGCGAAGATCACAGCGATGAAATTGTATAAATATTGCACGCGAATGAACAACAACTCACATCACCCAACTTAGTAAAACATAATAATTATGAAAACATTATTTATCTATGCCGCGGCCCCGTATCCCCAAAACTCAACTTTGTTTTCTGGAAAAAAAATAACAAAGATAAATATTAAATTGGAGCAAAATCAAACCAGTCTATTTTCTATTTACAGCAGTAGAGTAATTGTTCATTTTTGTGTAATGAGAAAATAACTCATTAATAATAATCATGAGAATGAAAGCAATTATCTTGTACTGCATTACTCATTTCATGGTGAATTCTTTATTCTTGCCACTTACATGAGCACATGAATTAATGATTAAAATGTCTCAACAACATTATAAATAAATCGGCGAATCACGCCTGCTTAGGGCATTATCTGAGTAAAATAACCTCATGGTCAGCATTTAGGACATAAGGAATGTCAAACTGCAAACATTGCATCTACATAATCCAATACGCTGCCTCCGGCCTGGGCTACACTGCAGAAAACGGAATGAAACCCTTTAATTGATTATTTTGTTCACCGGTGTAAATTGTTTTCCAGAGAGGTTATGAATAATCCCATCGTACATTTTAAATTGCTTTCTAAATCACCCTAAACTTAAAGTCTAATTTTCTTGGGATTCTGCATGAATGTTTCGTGTTTCTTATGGTTACCTGTAAAGACCGCTACAAAGAGACACGGCCGCGTATGAAATGTGCTAGTTTAATTACGAAGCATGTGATTTTATATGATTTTATACACGCATATACTTGTGAAGTAGTTACGAGGGAAAATTTGTTAGAAATTCTAATTATTAATAATAAATCATTCATTATAATTTTTCTTCTCCTCATATAATTAGTAATTTACAAAATGCATGCAGTAACTTGAAATTAACACTTGGTGATGCACACACATATATGATTGCATTATCCCCGATGCAAATAACAATATTCCAGCAGAAGAAACAAAAAGCCAAATCAATGTCCAAAAACATTTCAATAAAGTTCTCATTAAATCATTAAACAAGGATTACCTCCATTGGAACACGCTATTCCTCCAGTGCGGAGGGATGTCAATTAAAGTGTTGTACTTGTGTTTAATTTAAATGTGGGCAGGGCAGCCTGCCGATCCCTAACTGTATTAAGCTCTACTCAATCACTCGTTAATCCAGCGCATATCAGAAGGTCATCCAGAGCCCCCCCCCCGCCCCCCTTTGTACGAATCACGGCCCAACTATCACAGATGGCTGCAAAGGCCCTTGCTGCCCCGGCTCAAAACCCCTGTGCAGTATCTAATCAACGTTTCATCAGCAAGTAATTTACACGTCCACTGAGAGCACGGTTACTATTAGCGAGGTTAAAAAAAAAACATGCATTGGAAGTGGCATACAGTAGAGCATTAATATCCACGCGCTGTGTCCATACATCCGCGCGCATATATGAGATTTGAGTCGTTAATATAGATCACAATGCGTTTCTGCCCCCGATAGAATTCATCGTAGATGTATGAGAGGCGCTGTAGCGCCTACATGTCAAGGGGTGTAAACACGAAACGATTAATATTGATTCACAAGGTCACGATGCGTTAAGAATCGATGCTTTTCAATTTGAATGTTGTATTATGTTCACCCAAATATGGAATTTTCTTGATTGAATTCGATTGTGACACTGAATTACACTTAATACATTGCATCGCAAGGGGAGCAGAATCCTACTAAGTAGGCCTTCTTTGTGCACAATCTATGTTAACGGTGTTATTCTTAAAGGGGTCTTTTCAAGGCTCGCAAATGGGACAACTTTCCAAGTGTAAATTTCGATTTAAAGCTTTCGTGACTGCAGGGATTCATCTTCTTGGTTATTTCGGTAAAGTCACGTAGAAAGGGAAATAATAAAATAATAAAAATAATAAATATTATTTTATTATGTTTAATTTTTATTATTTTATTATTTCCCTTCTACGTGACTTTACCGAAAGAACCAATAAGATGATTTCCAAGTGTATGCACAATACCATTCGCAGTGCATATCAATTGCATACAAATATCACAATTAAACGTGTAGGTTATTGCAGCCGATAATATAACAACTCAACTTTCGCAAGATCATTCGGCGCCCTTACTCAACAATTTGTTATTCATATTAACGACTTTACTTGTTTTACATGAACGCACAATTACGTGTTACAGAGAGAAAATAAAAACTTTCCGAAACGATTCGAAGCATCGTGCATCGTTTGGGTCAAGAATCAAGCTTCGTCGATGCATCATCCCAGCCCTACTGCAATCCGCAGCCGCAGATTCTCCAAAGCCTCCCTGTTATCTTTAAAGTATAATGATGCACAACCACAAGGCTGATGCTGTTTGGTTCTGTATTGCTTTGGGAATTTCTTTTCATATAATACTCCGGGATGTCAATACAAAAGAGGAAGGTGGTTAGGACGTGTACAATGAATGGGTAACAACCGAAAAGCCGAACAAGTTAGGGACTGCATACCAGGAGACAAAAAGAAAATCGGGCGAACCACAAAATAATTGGAGGAGACTTGGCGAAGATCTTAAAAGTATGGGCACGAACGGTGGAGGAAACACACTCCCACTTGGCAGAATATGTTCACTTGAAAACGAGATGTTTTAGACAGGGATTTCAAGTAAAAATGCAAACAAAACATGAATCAGAGAGCCATATGGTGTATATATATATATATATGGGATTTGGGTCTTAGGAGTACTTGTAACCCAGTAGTCCACAAGTTCATCGTGGATGAATTTAACGTATCAACGCATGGATTTTTGGATTTCTGCTGCAGTATACTAAGCATACTAGCGGTCAGCCTGTCCTGTGGTCTGGGTGACGTGACACTCACGTGACCCTCGTGAGACATCCACCACTCACCTGACCCTCACCGCTCACCAGGTTATACTCTACAGTGGGAAGTCCGCTTCACCCTCCCCCACAGTCCCTGCATCACCCTCCATCCCATAACTTGCATATGTAGTACGATCGTAAAGAAAAACGGTGGGACCCACCCCATGAAACATGGAACGTTGGATCAATGTCGAAGAAACGTTAGTCCAAGGGTTTCAACCACGTGACAGCTTTGGCATGTCTGCTGAGACATCGCATGCTAGGTTTTATTTTTTCCAATGTCAGAGCAGATAAGCAGCGTGAGAATCGATGAGCCAAATTAATGGGTCAAAGGTAAAAACATAGTTATATTAGCCCTCATTTTAATAAACAACATATCATTAGCCTTTAAATAACTCCCCATTCATTACGATTGGTGGAGTGGTCGAGGAGAAGTTCTACCAATGAAAATGCATGCATATATACAATGATACTTACAGACAGAATAGCCATTGATCACTTAGAGGATTCTGTCAATTGCAAGACATTTCTCTATATATTAAGCTTAGCCCAGTGAAGCGACATTGCATACATTCATGCAAACAAATTTCGTACTTTAAAGACAACTATTTATAAGTCAAGGCTTAGAAAACTGCAAATAAGATAACACGTACGTTTGTCACACCGATGCATCACCGCACGTGTAAGCTCCATCTGAGCTTTGAAACATTTTATCTGCAGCACTTATGTGGTGCTGCGCAATGTTTTCAGTTATTGGGCATGTAATGTCTCCCTTTTTTCATCTCAAGGTTGTCAGCAAGGGCAAAACAAAAATTCAACGAAATGTTTTCTCGAAACTAACGGACGAGATAGAATGCTTTCAAATCATTTTCCTGCTAAAACACCGCACTGATCTTCTCCGGCTGCCGCGGAAACGTCTGCGGCGAACGTCAAGCAAAATGAACAGCGGGCGCACTCACTGTGAGCCCGGCACCACGCGAAGCGACTGGAGATTAGAAGTGATGGCAAAGCCAACCGCCAAACAGTCAAGACGAGCAACGCCTGTGCCGCTTATCCCTCAGCGGGCGTCTGAGCCCAGGGGAGGCATGGCGGGACCGGCTCTTCGGCGCCAGAACGCATTTAATGTCCTGCCGCCAGCGTGCCACTAACCCATTTGAGCACGCGCTGCGCCGGCTCACATTTGTCACGTGTCGCAGCGGCGCCCGCGGGTCGTCCCTTTCCAAAGCCCGCTGCCGCTCGCCGCTGTGACTCTCCGTGCCACGTCGGAAAGTCAAGTGCCGTCGGAGGTCCATTTGAAAGCCCTCGCGTCTGAACGAGCTCGCTCGTGAAGTCTGCGCGAAAGACGCGCTTGGATGCGGGGAATGAACGGACCGAGTGCGTGTAAATGCGACGCTAACCTCGCCAACTGCTGACTTGTCTACGCGCGGGCACTGTGTTTTCCACTGCTTGAGCGTCTGAAAGAGATCAGCCGCAGGGCAACTGTCAAGATAGTTCTCACCAATCTCCAAAAGCTCACTGACTGGGAACGCTTTCAATACCGCTGCTCTCGTGTCGTGGTGAATGCAATGTGCCTGCGAGCATCCATTGATCAAGAGGGAAAATACATTCAAGGCAGCGGACGCTCAGAGTGGCATTTAGCGAAATTATAGGAAATTAAAATGTCTTGGCAAAAAATAAATGTGAAAATTTGTCAATGTTATGATCGACATTTCCATATCCGTGGATTAACTTTATGGGTTGATGTGTTTTAATTCATATTTTACTTATTCATGCCTTTAGTGTGTTGTAATTAATAAGCACTCGTAAAATATATATTTATAGCACTAAATAATGCACGATCGTGTCATATTAATTTTAATAAAAAATCAAATTGTAAATCACTGTCTATTAGCTGCTCTGACATATGGATCAGAATTACTGTATGGACCTTGAATAAAGATATAGAAAAAAATGCTGAAATGTGCATAAAGAGGCATGGAAAGTTGCATCTTTGGAATCACACTGAGAGGAATAGAGTGGTGGGGACACATGAATCAGGGAACATGTGCAAGTGAGAGAAATGATGTTACTACAACTTCAGAGAAACATGGGTTTTGGAAGGACACATCGTTGGAAGGGATGATGACCGGCGGGCCGAAAACATACAACAGAGGACAGAACGTGCCGGAGAGTAAGAGCCGTCCACTGTGGTGATGGAGTGATGAGAACTCACGAGGAGGAGCTAAATGGATTATTGTATCACGAGGCCATTAAAGATGGTGACGGCTCGGGAAGACGTTCATCCAGCAGTGACAAGATCAAGGCTGCTGATGATGATGATAACGATGTGCTCTACAGCTTTGTCAAATGAAATGAGCCAATATTGCTTAGAACACAAAGACACTGTTGCTGTAACACAACGTATGAGTTTGTATTTGAATAATCTCTGTGGATTAACATCTCAACTACATCTTCTTGGTTCTTTCGGTAAAGTCACGTAGAATGGAAATAATAAAATAATAAAAATAAAACATTATAAAATAATCCTCACGACGTTTCCCCATAAATATGCTAAATTCCTCTTGATATGCAAATTATTTTGTCAAGGCGCTCTTTGCTCCTCCATCCCTGCTTAAATAGTCGCTCCAAGCCTGGGGCGTTATCATTCAGACTCTGTCTTCTCGACAGACCTGTTCTCCACCTGATGACGGCTGCTTGCGTTGTGGCCGAAACGTCGTGAGAATTATTTTATTATGTTTTATTTTTATTATTTTATTATTTCCATTCTACGTGACTTTACCGAAAGAACCAAGAAGATGAATCCCCGCAGTCACGAAAGCTTTAAATCGAAAAAAATCTCAACTACATTACATGTCCACATTCAACATGTGGACATGTGATAGATCAATACCCGTTCATTGAGAACACATAACTAATACAATATACAATTGATGATGTTCAAGAATTTGTAGGGCTCCTAAAGGAGCTTTTGATTTGCAAACCATTACAGGTGATTACATTTAATTGGTCTGTGCTAAATCTCACCACATTGCCACACAATGGCCTCATGCTGATGAAAGTTTGCATTTGCATGTGAATTAGGGATACAATTTGCAGGTGAATTAGAGAACAAATGCAAATTAGAGACATCACATTCACCGGTAAGCAACGTAAGCATTCTTCTAAAAGACACGTCGCTGAATGGTGGTCGAGACTAATGACGGAATTGCGACCAGAGGCATCACGCCCGAGAGAGAGGACGTCTACTCCGGAGACGGAGCAATGAAATAGCAAGTAGCGAGTGAGCAGAGGCGTATAGATTGTGTCCAGTGCATAGATTATGGCTGGTGGTGATTATTATTATTTAAGTGCACTCAAAATAGCCGTATTCTAAGCCATCACAGACCGTGCTGGACTCCAATAAGTTACATTTTCTAGACAAGCAAGTCTGACATTTGGCCCACCATATATCCATATACATGCTTTTCTATAATCCACCGCTGGATGAATGCATTCCCATGCCATGGGGCTTGTTTGACCATGCAGTGGTACTTGAGGCTGCAGTCAAATGCTCTACCACTGAGCTATACCCGCAGGGCCCGTATGGAGGACAAAAGGAGAAGGCGGAAGAACCATGATCCCTCAGCACCCATCCCAGATGAGACCTATATTTGCAGCTGTTGTGGCAGGACCTGCTTGTCCCGCATAGGCCTCTTCAGCCACCAGCGCGCCTGCAGAAGACGTGGATGTCCTTCCTAGATCTTCGTTCGCGAAGCCAAGCCATGATGATGATGATGACTTGAGGCTACTCAGTAGCGCTTGGGGAAGGGAAGCCCCTGCCATAGTTTCGCATTCCTTGACTGGGAGTTGAACTCAGATCACCAATTTCATACTCCACAGAAATACCTCGATCAGCGAATATTCGTCATATGAAGTTTCAGTAAAACGAACTTTGGACGTCTTACCATTATTATTTTCGTGGCAATACAAATAAAGTAAAATTACAAATCAATACTGTAATCACTAACTAAATAAAACATTTGTCGATCTCCAGTACGATATAAATAAGAAAACAACCGTGTTTCATCACTATGTTTATTTTATTCATGTCGTTTATAAATTTTAATAAGGTACAGAATAAAATATATTATTTTTAATATAAATTGTGTTTGTTTACAATATGAATGGGGAGTTATTAAGTGTTTACAGTATGAAATAGGAAGCTACGAATTCTGGGAACGTATTATCAAAGTACTAATGTTATTACTTATTCAATATACGAAGTTTCAATATACGAACGAAACTCTATGAACGCAATCTACTTCGCATATCGAGGTATTAATGTAGTATGAAAACCACCACACCACCGCTCCTCTATAAACCCTGTCGGCAACGTATGCTCACTTTATTCAGAATGAAAACGGTGCTCTCGTGTTTTGCACGTTCTCTGTTGTGATTGCTGCAATGGGTCCAATAAAAACAAGAATGAAAACGGTAATATAAACGGTGCACTTAATTGCTGGTTAAACGTCAACTAGCAAATTACCAGTGCGTTAACTGAAAACGAAAACAGCCTCGGGATATTAAACAATCCAGGCACAGGCTTTAAGAAGCTATTTTTGGGACGCAGTAGACACGATAATGTATTTTCGGCCACGGATATTGAAATGCTTACGAACCCACTTAATATCATGCTTAATATCATGCTTGCCGGGATCTCAATCAGTCGTGACAATAACCAGAGTAGATGCCGCACGAAGAGAAGCCAACGTGACACCGCCTAGGTGGTCAAGTCCGCTCTGCAACACGGGACACGGTGAGAATGATGTAGAGTGGCCCACGAGTGCCATTTCGCTGTGTTCCACCGTCTATGCTAATTTAATGACGCCACATTTCTCATATTCAAAAGGGATGTTGGCTCTGGGATTCAGAGATGGGTGGGTGCGATTCGCAATGTTTGCATGGCTCGGAGCCATTTCTTTCCCCGTAAACTTTAATCGGACACCAGCTGTGCGCTCTGACAGATCTGCATTCCAGAACGGGGGGTAGGGGTTAGTGGGGAGAGAGGTAGATCTGCTCCGGAGAAGACTGTTACCCACCAAACGTGTGTGTGTGTGCTCTCCAGTCGGTCGTGGTGTTGGCCACTCACCCCCTCGTGTACCGTGCCGGCCTTCACAGATGCTACTCGCTAAGAGCACTTATCCCAATAGTCTGTTTAGGCTATACGGGGGATCTTTATCTTTGTGCTATCCAGCGTTAGTGCAACGGTTAGCGCGTTGTGCTACGAACCCGTCGACGCAATTTCGATTCCCGCTAATGGTCAACACCAGTGACGATTTTCTGAATCGCTGCTTGGCCTCCCCTCGGTCAAATCAGCCTCAAAGTGAGTACCTGGTGCAGTGTGTGTAAAAAACATCGCCACTGGAGAGACAAAGGCGGTCGGGCGTGGTGCTTGCCACCGACCCCCTCGCGTGCCGTGCCGGCCTTCATTGGTGCTCGCTAACAGCACTTGTCCCAACAGTCTGTTAGAGGCTATACGGATGATTTTTTTCCGATTTAAAGCTTTCGTGACTGCAGGGATTCATCTTCTTGGTTCTTTCGGTAAAGTCACGTAGAAGGGAAATAATAAAATAAAATATGATGTTTTATTTTTATTATTTTATTGTTTCCCTTCTACGTGACTTTACCGACAGAACCAAGAATATTTACGGAGGATCTTTGTCTCTGTGTGCGTGTATGTGTAGGTGAGCATACTTGACCGTGCTCGCATGGTCTGAAAAATGTTCCACGGCCACGCGCGACCAATCGTGACAATCTAATTAGAAAAGCATGCGTCCTGTCTGCACCCAGCCCGTGCAGCCCGGGATGTGCACACGTGGTGCGCTCAGATAAGTAAAGCCCCGAAGAATGACCGGCGTGCCTTGCCCGCCAGGCGTGCCTTGCGTGCCACGTGCTCCTGCGACCACTCATCTCGCGGAGCGAGCCAAACTCGTGCTCGCGTGTGCACGACGGCGGCGGAGGACGGATAGCGTTGACCAATGGGACGTTCACGTACATTGCCCCAAGTGCAAAAACAATCGATCGCACGCTCCACGTGTCAAGTCTTGAGCAAGACTGGTTGGCGAGGGCCATGTCCCGTGAGCGGCATCGCCTATGGACCGGCACACGAATGGGGTGGGTGGCCAGCACCACGCCTGTTCGCCTCTGTCTCCGACAGTGCTGATGTTTACACACCGTGCTGGGTATATTTTAAGGCGGAGTCGACCTAGGGGAGTCCCATGGCCGGCTAAAAGATATTGAACTTGGGGGGCCAGAGTTTGTTGCGCAGTGCACTAACCACGACACTACCGCTCCTTATTTGCAGACGCACACGCGAACACCCTTGAACAACGTACTTCATCACGTACTCGCCTCTCACGTCAGAGTGCCAAGACTACGACATGATGAGATGACGGTGATATGTAGCCCTTTATTA